CTATTTCCTCGGCCTCCCTGATGAGGCCGCCACTCAATTCCAGCCCTCATTTCACCTCTCCAGCTGCACCTGGAGACACTATTTGTACAAAGCAGGCTTATTAAGGCCTGTCCTTAACTCGACACAGACGGCAACGTCTCTGAATGTCACATGTGTTTAGCGAACCTGCTTGCTTAGGGTAGAACTCTATTTTTAGTAAGCACCAAAAAAAAAAACCCTGATACTCTATCCCAGCACGTCGTTTGTCCCCATTTGTTTACCGGGCTGTGCCCCACATTGGCCTGGGGGCCAGGCGAGGGCAGGACCACATGTAATTCATCTCTATACCCCCACCGGGCCTGGCACAAAACCAGCATTCAGTGAATGAGTGCTGCAAGAATGAGACTTTAATTGTCCCTGTGAGTGGGCTGAGAGCAGGTGTTCCTGAGCTGAAGTGCAGGCGACATTAGGGAACGGGCCACAGCAGGATCTGTGACTCTACCTGACAAATGGTATAAAAGGCACGTGGGGGGCAGGGGGGGATGCACATGTGCAATGTGCGCATGCATGGTATGCATGCACATGTGCTCCTACAGTGTGCGTCCGTATGGGATTTGTGGCTTTCAGCAGCGTTTCAAAGGCTGTGACCAGAAAGTTTAAGGAACACCGGAATAGACTCTACAAGCAATGACCAGGAGTCTGTCTTCTTTTCTGAAAGGTCAGAGTTGGCGCCACATGCATGAGCTTCCCAGGAATTGAAGGAGAAATGCGCCAGCCCTACTGAGCAGACCAGAGTGAACGCTCCCAACAGGTCACTTCCTGACATAGTCCAGAGGAGACCGGGCACCTCTGGCGGTGAGCAAGGAGTCCCAGACCCCATCCGCCTCTCCCAATGTATTACAAGTTGGGACAAGTAAGAACCCATTGAATCCACAAGCATGCACAAAGGAATTAAACTCTGAGCTGTCTGCTGACAGCCAGCACCCCACTCCCGTCCAAGGCGGGGTCGGTAGCCCTGGTCAGGACCCCCACAGCCCTGTCCTCATGCCTTCTGTTACTACGTACTTAGCTATCTTTCTCACTAGAAAAAATACGAGTCTATTTTGCATGCCTCTAGGCAAATAAATTTGAAAACCTAGATGGATGAAATGGATCATTTCTTAGAAAGATACAGTTTACCAAAACTGACTCCAGTAAAAATAGAAAGTGTAAACAGACCAATTCCCATGGACATAATAGAGAAAGTTATCATGAACAAACCCATAAAAAGGCACCAGGTCCAGATGGATTCACGAGGGAATTTTATCACAGCCTTAGAAACCAGATAGTCCTAACAATACATAAACTGTTCCTGATCATAGAAAAGGAAAGAAACCTAAACCTAATAGCACACCAAAAGGGACATGACAGACAAATATCACTCATGATACTGCTAAAAGAAATCTTAAATATAATATTATCAAACAGATGTCGGCCCCATCACAATAAGGAAATAATACACAGTGACTAAGTGAGGTTTATACCAGGAGTGTTTCAATATTAGGAACTCTATTAATATAAGTCAACATATTAATTGATCTAAGAAGAATAAAATCATATTTGCCCATAGATGCTACAAAGTCTATGACGTAATTCAACTCCCATTCCTAACCAAAACTCTCAAGAAAATAGGAATGGATGGATACTTCCTTAACATAATTAAATACATACACCTCAATCCTAAAGCCAACACTAGAGTGGGTTCCTGCTGGGGTCAGGAACAAGGCAAGGACGCCCACCATGTCCACCACTCTGTCACATGCCACTGGAGGTATTGTCAATGCAATTAGACAAGAGAAAACAGAGGCACAATTAGAGGCCCTAGCTCAGCGAGGGCAGGGGTGGGGTCTCATTTCCTGTTATATCCCCAGGATCTAACTCAATGGGTGCTCAATAGTTGGCTGGCTGAGTAAATGAATAATGGCTCACACTAATGCAGCACCTCTAACAAAATCAAGGGTTTAAGAAAATGCTGGTAACAAACCACACCCTGTGTTAATTGGTTTAAATGGATTAACCCACTCAAGGCCAACGATCCTAGGTGGTGAAGTACCATTACTTCAGCCATTTGACAGATGAGCAAACAAAGGTCCAGAGAGGTTAAATGACTGGCCAAAGATCACTCTGCTGGTACATGTTTTAAATTCTGGCCTTGCCATGGTGCCAGGCACCTAACAAACTTCACGTGTGTCTCTCATCACACGAGGGAAGGAGGGATCCTCACACAGCAGTTCAGCACGCAGGCTCCGCAGCAGTGCTCAGGTTCATATTTCAGCTCTGCCATTTACCAGCTCTGCTTTCTTGGGCAAATTCCTTCACCTCTCTGTGCCCAAGCGTCCCCCTCTGTCAAATGAAGTTGCCAATAGTGCCCACCTGCTAGGGTTGGAGGGGTAGTACAGGAGCTCATAAACGTCTGCTACATGCTAAAGTTCTAGAAAGTGAGCATCCCACTTCCCCCAAATTCCCTAAGTACCATCACCAAGTTCTGACAAAGTCTGTCCCATTAGCAGTACTTTTCCTTCCTCGGTTTTTGCCAAGCTCATGCCCAGAGTTAAGAGTAACACCTCACACACATCATCAATGTACTGTCACCTGGGACAAAGCCCAACAGCAAGATAAGAGCTGGTGTTGGCCCTTGGGGAGTTCCACCATGCGGAAGCAGAGAGAGGGGACCGCTGCTAACATCTGGGTAAGCCAGAGCCAGACCCACGTCTGGAACAGCTCGCTTTAGCCTCTCAAGGCTCTTGACGTCCCCTCTCTTCCTGAGCCGTGACACGTCTCTGCTGCCAACTTCCCAGCAAACAGTCATTATTTTACAGATCCAGAGCGTGGCCCCTAAGCGTGGCTGCACTTCCTTCCAAAGAGCACAGTTAGAAAGAAGCAACTCAATGGTGGAGAAACCTGACCAATACTAGCTCGGCCAGGTGATCAACGTCAACATCAACAGTGAAAAACCATGTGGACAGGATGTACCCTTGACATGATGGGATGGAAAGGGCCACTTCACCTCCGTGATCTTCCTCCCCCAAACCCAAAACCCCCATCTATCCTTGAGAAAAACATCAGAAAGACCCTAATTGAGGGACATTCTACAATGTACCTAACCAGTGTTCCTCAAAACTGTCACGGTCATAAAAACAAGGACAGTCTGATTCTGAAGAAAGTATGGACTTTAGTTCATAATCATGCGTCAATATGGGCTCATTAATTATAACGAATGTACCACACTAAGGTATGATGTTAGTGATATGGGGAACTGGGTGCTGGGTATATGGGAACTTTGTACTATCTTTACCACTATTCTGTAAATCTAAAACTGTTCCAAAAAATAAAATTTACTTAAAAAAAAAACATAACAGATTCCCGGGCTTTCATTGTGGTCATTTAGACACTCATCTGGCGGCCACCAAGCACCACTTGCCAAGAAAAACTATAAAAAGCACCTCCCATCAGATTTGGCGTGGAAACTATTTCCCCGGAAATCTCCCCCCTGCAAAAAAAAAAAAAAAAGTGAGCTGATTGTGAATCTGGGAGGGATGGAAGTATTAGTTTCCTGCAAAACATGACTTTAATCTGAACGAACAGAAAGACCACTGATGCGAGAGGGATCGCTTGCAGATTCTTAATTGTATCTTTTCAAAGCAAAGGATGGCCTCCAGATTGTAACCCCAGAAGACTCCTCTCTTTGGCTGGCTAATTACTTCCATCTCCCGCCAAAGTACAGAATAATTACTAATCACCATCTTCCCTTTGTACCCAAGTGAAGGGGATCCCCAAAGTCAAAGCAAGCCCCTCACCTAAGGTAGCCAGTGAAGATGCAGATGGACGGAAAGTTAAAATGTCTCATGCACCTGCCTAACACAGCATCTCTGGGAACCGGCAAGCCCCTGAGTATCTGAGCGTCCGTGAAAAGGCCTCCTACACAAACCAGCGAGCACAACTCCTTCCTGCACTCGGATGCAGCCAAGCCCCAAGTGCATCTGGAAGTTACCAACAGGCCTGCCCCTGAGGCTTCAACAAGCATTGGCTGGGCTGGGCTGTCAAAATCAGGAAGCCTGGTTGGCTTTTTTGTTTTTTTCCCAAGACAACCTGCTAACCAGAAAAATACAGTGAGGTTGAGTGTGCGACCTCCTCCTCCTTCTGACGAAGGCCCCTGTTGAACACGTGAACTCACGCCCAGTCTGGGGAAGTCCCAAGTCCCCAGCCCCCAGCAGCAGAGGGCCCTTGAAGGCACAGAGTGACAGGTCATTTAGGCAGGAACAGCCTGCAGCTTCCTGAATTCACACGCCAGCTCCTGCCCCCAAACCCCACAACCATCCACATCCAGGATGACTGTGAGGTCCGGGATCCCTTAATAAAGTTCAGACTGATCCACTCGGGGTGATTCGAACACGCAGCAGCAGAACCCAGGGAGGAAATGGGCCTGCCGCCTAACAGCGAAGTCAAACCACCCTCCAGCGTTAGACACAGACGACCTCTCCCTTAGTTTCAACACAAAGTCCCCAACAAACGCGGGGCGCACGCGGCGGTGCCCGGAGGGAGGACAATCAGCTTCAGGCCCTGATAATCAGGTTCAGCTGCACCCTCTTTCTGCACCACCCACTGAACTCCATTCTTTGGCTTCCTCCTCTCCTCCCTCCAAAGTCAAATCAATCACTTCCGTGGCCCTCTGACGACCCAGCAGCACGCAAGAGGCCAGCTGAGCCCCTTGCCACCTTTTCCTTTGCCACCGGCGACCCTCAGGGAGAAGTCACAAGTAACTGGAAACTGACGCCCCACGGGGCGAGAGGGAGCCGACCGCCCCCTAAGGGTGGCAGCAGTCCCTGACGCCTCGTGCCCTCCCTCACACCTGGGGAGAGGCATCTCCCTCCAGGCCCCCCAGGAAGTGTGACATCTGGAGCAAAGAGGGGCCCTGTGCCCACTCCGCAGGCCCCGGCCCCAGCTCGGGCTCGGGGGCCAGGCCCGGGGGAGCCTCCACCGACCTTCGATAGGATTCAAATAGTCATAGTCGAAGAGGATGGAGAAGTCGAACTCGTCTTGGGGGCTGCCCCCGGGCTCGCGGCCCGGGGCGTCCCCGCCGTCGGGGTCCGGCTGCGGCTCCGGGGCGTCCATGGCGCAAAGCGGCGGGAGGGCTGCGGGGCCGGGGGCGAGGGCGAGGGCGAGGGCGGGCTCGGCTTCCTCCTGGGCCCCCGCCGGGGGCGGCGAAGGTGGCCGGAAGCGCGGCGGAGAGGTGGGCCGAGCGGCGGGGTCGCTGTCCTCGTGGGGACGCACGCCGGGGCCGGGGATGGCGCGCCTGGCGCAGCGGGTCCTGGACGCGCCCCGGGGAGCTGAGCGGCGGCGGCGGCGGCGCGAGCTTCCTGCTCCGGGAGGCACCTGTTGCAGCCCGGGGAGGGGGAGGCGGGGACAGGGCGGCCAGGCCGGCGGGGGCGGGGCCGCCACCCGGGGACCCGGGGGAGGGAGGGAGGGAGACGCAAGGGCCGGGGCTGCCCGGCGCCCGGGAGGAAGGAGGCCGCCCGCCGGCCCCGGCCGCGCTGCCCTGGCTCCGCGCCTAGCAACCGGCCCGGGCCACCGCCAGGCCCTCGGCGCCGCCGCGCTGGGGGCCGCTGGCTGCCACCCTCCCCGCGCTGAGCGCTGCGCGCCCTGCCGGACTCAGGATCTAGGCCGGCAAGCTGCTGCCTCTGGTAGTTTTGCCCTGCGTGACCAGCCTTTCCCTCTTTTCTTCTCTAAGGGGCGAGGGGGGCGCACCCACTCCCTTCTATCGCAGACCTGTCTCTCCAAGTGCCTCTCTGTGCCCACAGCTGTGGCATTAGTGTCACCTACAGTTCCGTCACCTGCACGCCCCTCGACGCAGTTTCCCAGGACCTGAGAGGAATCACAGATACTCTGAAAGCACTAGTCTCACTCTGACATCTAAACCTGTTGGCCACCCATCACCAGCCGGGTGCAGGGGACCCAGCATGCACCAGACCCTGTGCCCTGGGAAGCTCTGGTGCCCGGAGAGGCCTGAAGGAGATAAGGGAACAAAGGTCCTCTCTGGAGGGTGTCAGGAGAGAAGTAACCCCGGGCAGGGGGTGAAGGCTGGGGGCTGGGGAAGCTTTAGTCACTTCCATGGTCAGGTAGTGCATCTCTGGGAAGGCGACATTTGGAGGAACCTGATTGATCTGGGGGAAGAGAGTTCTGGCAGTGGGAACCAAAAGACAGCAAAAGCCAGAAGGAGCTCTGTGTGTTGGAGGCAGAGCAAGGAGAGCACTGCAGCTGGAGAGCTTGGCAGGTAACAAGTACACCTGGACGCTTGTCAAAAACACAGATTCCCAGGCCCCTCACTGATGCTTCTGATGGCGTTAAGTCTGTAGCAGAGGCTCAGGAATGCGTATTCTTAAGCCAGCACCCAGGGTGAATGTTATGAATAGGTACATTTGGGGAACACTACATCAGAACCCAGTACCTCCCAATAAAACACTTCCAGATATCTTGGTCCAAGCTAGCTGAAGTCAGAAAACAGACTCACAGAGGTAGAAAAGGAGATCAGAACAGTGGTCTTCAACCCTTACAGCACCTCAGAATCTCCTGGGACACATTTTTAAATGCCTGTGCCCAGGCTTCAGTCCAAACCACTGAACCAGAACATCCAAAGTTATTTTTTTTTAAATGACCTCAGATCATCTAAAGTGCAGCCGGCGTTGAGTATCACTGGATCAGAAGAGTAGGTGGGAGCGGTTCAGGGACTCCCTGAGAACCACACTTGACTCGTGGGGACTGACTCAAACCCTTCCCCACATGCCAGAAGTATGGAGAATGTGCACTCTTCAGGGGCAGCCATCTCTGCTCCATTAAGGGGTGTGTGCAAAGCTGTCAATCGTGATTCATTCCACAACTGTTTATAGAGCACCAGCTGGGTACCTGGCCCTGCTACAGCTCTTGGGGATGCAGCCATCAACAGGACGGGGTCTCTACCCTCATCAGGCTTATATCCCGAAAGCAAAGAGGGACAGCAGTGAATAGGGTTTTCAAATTGCACTTAGACCAGTGGTTTTTAACCCTGGCTACACATTAGACTCACCTGGAGGGCTGTGAAAAAATTCAAGCGGCTGGGCCCCACCAGAGACCAGTTATGATCAGAATGTCTGAGGGTGGGGCCTGGGCATCAGTATTTTGCAAAAGCTCCCCAGATGCTTCCAGTGTGTAGCCAAGAGTGAGAACCACTGGTTTAGACTCAAACTCCATTCCAGGGTCCGGGGCCTGGCTCAGGACTTGCCAACTTTCAAAGACTTGAGAAGGACTTTCTGGTTGTCAGAGCATAAAGAATCCTCTTCTTTGTTTCCTAACCTTAAGCACAGCTATAGGGGTGTATCCAACAAGCATCTTAGGGGATGGCTGGTAAATTTAGGTGGAGGAGGGGAGATGACCCAGCCTAGGACACTTAGAGCCAAGTATCTAGAAGGAGATGGATGCTCTTGTGTCCTTATGGCCCTGAAATTTGGTCAGGGATAAACAAAGGAACCGGCCTGCCTGTGTGCTGTAGAAAAGGAGAAAGGCTGGTGTCACCCTCACACGTCCTTTCTCATCCCCCCATCCATAATGATTAAATGCCTCTAATCTAGTGGACATCTGTTGATTTTGCCTACCTGGAATCTTTCCCCCCTTCTTCTGATAAGAGCACCCCAGTGTGTTCCTTTGGGAAACTACCCTTGATACAATCTTGGTAGAATTATCAACCCAGTTGTCTCATCCTCTCCCGGCAAAGAAGTGAACAAATGACCCAGGCTTGGCCAATCAGAGAATTTTATCTCCACTAGCCTATGAGATCCACAAAGGCAGGGGTCATGATTGCCTCATTCACAGCTTTATGTACAGTGGAGATGTGGACGTGTGGATGGATGGGTGGACGGGTGGAAGGGTGGGTGGATGGATGGATGGATGGATGGATGAGTGGACAGATGGATGGATGAGTGGATGTTTAGATGAATCGATAGACAGATAAATAGTTGGATAGATGGATGGATGGATGCAAGAGTAGATGGATGGATGGATGAATGGATGGACGGATGGATGGATGGATAGAGGGATGGATGGATGAATGGATGGACGGATGGACGGATGGACGGATGGATGGATGGAAGGATGGAGGGAGGGATGAATGGAAGAGTGGATGTTTGGAGGGATGGATGAATGAGTGGGTGAATGGATGCATAAAAGAGTTTGACTCTCCTTATGTATATGAGATCCATACCTTTTTTCTTTAAGGGCTTTCCTCCCTGAGGCTTTCTCTGGCCACCCAATTGTTAGGGCAAGAACCTAAATTCTTACCCGCAACTGACATCCTCTTGAGATACCCAATAATAAGATGAGATGATAAAGGGAAGATCACTTTACAACTGATAAAGTGCTACAAAAACTTCAGCCTTAGAAGAAGAGTTCAGGAAATTCTAAACAAGATTCTAATTGCCTAAGTTGTTCCTCTGAGCAGTGGATATATTTTAAAAGCTTCTAGGATTTGGAATCTGCACCAAAGCAATCCGAGTTCTTTAAACTCGGGAAAGGGTTCAGACTAGGCCGTGACCCGTAACAGAGCTTCTGCTGGAACAGTGGGAAGTAAGAGGGTTTTCTTCTCGAAGGTCCACCTTGAAGGGTGGAGATTTGCGTTGAGGGGAAGGTATATTTTCATTTCCAAAATAAATAATTTGTGCTCTTAGGAGTAAGGGCTAGGAGCAGAATGTATGACCTTTATGCATTCAGAGGCCACCCCAGGCAGGTGAGCGGTGGATGGAGGCCTGAACAGTGCAGCTCTGTCAACCTTCTCTCTGCCCAGCAGCTGACCCTTCTTGGAGGCCCTGGCCCTTTAGTTTTTCTCCTGCCTCTCCAACAAAAATGCAATGGGAAGCTAGTGAAGCCACTGAGAGTTTGAAACTTCTAGCACACGTTGGTACTGTCCGCCCCTGGCCCAGGAATTCAGCTCAATTCAACAAGCATTTACCCCAGTGCATAATTACAAACCGAGATAAATGCCATAAAAGGAAAGGAGAAGGTGCTACAGAGCTTATATCAAGGAAACCCGACATAGACAGGGATTTCAGGGAAGGCTTCTGGGAAGGTGATGTTTAAGCTGAGACCAGAAGGTTGAGTAGAAGTTAGCCAAGAAATAGTGAGGAAAAGAGCTAACAACCAGATGGGACAGTATGTGCAAAGGCCCTGAGGCAGGAGGAAGGATGAAGTGTTGGAGGAACCAAAAGAAGACTGGAGTGGCAGGTGCTCAGGAATGGATAAGAAGATGGTGTGAAGTGAGGCTGGGGTGAGTGGGGACCGTGTGGAGAATTTTGGATCGAAGAGCAATGGGGAAGAACTGAGGAGTATTAGGCCGTGCATGACAAGATCATATTTGAGTTTTTAAACGATCGCTCTGGGTTCTGCGTGGAGAAGAAACTACAGGGGGGCAAGGGTTGAAGCAAGAACACCATTTAGGAGGTTCTGGCAGCCAACCAAGCAAGAGATAATGTGACGGCAGTGGAGACAGGAAAAAGTGGAAGCATAGAAAAGACACACGTACTCTCTTCCTTTGGTCCATCCTTGAGTTTCTCTTTTCCTCTTCTAGCTACCTCTTAAAATGCAGCGTAACTTGGTTCCACCTGAATACAAATATCTGAGGAGCACTGACCCCTGGGCCCCCACCACCCCCCAGTGGCTCTGAGTTCTGAGGCCCCTTCACGTTGGCCCCAGAGGGACCCATCACCTACAGCTCTGCCCTTTTCCCCCCTTCCGCTATAAAGCTCGTTTTTATCTACAGCTTGGACCTCTCCCCTGAAATCTGGGTTCATATACCCCACCGTCCACCCAACGTCTCCGTCTGGGTACCCAACAGGCATCTCAAAGATGAGTCCAAACCAAACCCTGTTATCCTCTGAACGGCTCCTCTCCCTCTGTTCCCAGCTCAGACATCACCCTCACATTTTCCAGTTCTCCCACCAAAAACCAAGAAGTTGTCCTGATTCCTCTTCTCTTCTCACGTCCACACGCAAACCCTCAGCAAATCCAGGCAGCTCCATCTTCAAGATGAAACCCAAATCCACCCATGTCTCACCAGCTTCACGTCCTTCCTCCCGCCCCAATCATCCCAGCCCCCATCATCTCTCGCCTGGATGCCTGCAGTAGCCTCCTCCCTCGTCTCACCACCCCCACTTCTGCCCTTACACAAAGCAGCCAGAGGGAGCCTTTCAAAATACACATCTGGTAAACCCTCCGTGACTTCCCATTAAGTTTAGAATTGAATACAAACATCTTGGCCTTCAAGGCCCGGGATAGGCTGCCCCCAACCCAGCTCTCTTTGGGTATCATCTCCTGCCATTCTCCTCTTCTCTGCTC